AAGGTGGCCACGTTGATGGATGCCAGAGGGGCCCATCCGAAAAAGGCTTGGCATCGCATCGCATCGCATCGCATCGCATCGCATCGCATCGCATCGCATCACTCGACGCCGCCGCTCCCAAAGTGGAGGCGAGTTGGCCCGGCCTTCACAGCGATAACCCGGCTGACGATAGAAGGCGGCGACCCCCGTGCACAGCCTCTGCAGCCTCGGCTTTCCAACTCAGCACCGGCTGCCCCCCGCCCGCTCCGATCTAACAAAATGCTTCATCGAGAGTCTAACAGTCAGAAAGTCGCTGGAAATACTCCACTTGGCTCAGCGAACGCACACCCGCTTCACGTCAAATCCAGCTCGCCTTGAGACAGCCAAAAAAAGGAGAAGGATGGCATTGTAGCGATGGTAGCGATGGTGTCACTGCTTGACAGTGTCTTGGGCAGGTTCTTGGGGCACAAACTCTCTCCACGAGTGTGCGTTGGCCTCCTTGTGCTGACGGATGATCTTATCGCCCGCACTCGGAATCTGGGTGATGGCGGCCATACCCACGAGACTCGCGAGCGTGATGCCCTGCGCCCACACGCGTGCCTGGACGAGCTTTTGGGCAAAAGTCATGGGCTGGGTGTGGATGTATGCAAAGATGCCGCCCATGCTGGCGGCCCAGGTGGCGGCGACGACGGAAAACTTGTTCTCCTTGGCCCACGTGAGCGCCTTGTCGCCCGTCGACAGCTCGGCCCACTGTCTCTCCTCGCGCGTCTGGGCACGACGCTGAATCGCGGCGCCCGCATCGGTGTAGTGGTCCTGGTCGAATTGGATACCCGCTTTGTCGGCGCGGATCACGCCAGTGCCGATCGCGATGGACGAGACGAAGAACAGCTTGATCGCAGGTGTGAGTGCGCGAAACGCCGGCCAGCTACGGTTGAGCAGGTATGCGCTAGGTGCTGCACCCGCCAGTCCAAGTCCAAACCCTTTGGCTGCAGCCGTCACCGACGCATTGTATTGTCTGTCAACCCCCGAAAGCAACGGGTCAGCATGTGTGGTGGAAGGAGCAAGAGGAAGCAGGACTCACGCTTCACGACGCTGCACGTCGCCCACATCTCGGTGTGTTCCATACGACATGATGATGCCAAAGAGAGTCTTGTAGAATGTGTCGTGTGTGTGGTGTAGGGATGAGGGAGCGTTAGGAAAGCAAGGCTTTTGGTGGGGTTGGGAAGGAGCAAAGCGCGGCGAGCCTCGGGTGTGTGCATGTGTGTCATTGCGCCTCCGAAAAGTGGAGGTTTGGGCCCAAAAAAATCCAAAAAAGAGGCGGCGCTGCAGATCCAAAGCCGATGCCGCCTTCCATTCCGATTCCTCCCTTGCCGCTCTTGGCCGCTCGCTCTTCTCCGAACGCGCAGGATCCAATCCCAACCATGCAAAACTCTTCGGAAGCATGGCCCGACAAGCTACGGTCAAGTCGGTCGGCACACCTCGGCACCCTCGTTCGGGCCCCGTTCTAGACCCCGACTTCGGCTGCGGTGCATCGTCGGCCGTCGGACATTTGCGGACCGCCAATCCACACGTGTGTGTCTGCATTTCGGCTCGAGTCCTCCGCCATCAGCCCAACACGTCCCTCATCCATCGTGTTTGACAGCTGCCATTTCCCACTCCCCGCATCGTCGCAAAGATTCACACAAATCACAAGCCCAGTCAAACCAAGAACAAAAGCGTTTAACGAGTGACGAGTGCAAACACTATCCGGATCGAGTCAAAGCCAAGCTGCTATGTGTATGTGTGATGAGGGTCAAATGAATGTGTGAGATCAAAGCAATGAGATCAAAGCAAAACTGGAACAAGGTATAAAAGAGACAAAGAGAGAAAGCAAGCAAAAAGGTGCAGGGCGATCAAACCACCGCCGAAGCCAGGTCGAGCGTCCATTCGCGACGCAGCCGCCCATGCACAAGCTTAAACGTGCTCAGCGCGCCCTTCTCCTGCACCACCAGCACCGACGTCGCAAACGTCACGCCGCCCGCACTGCTGCCACGCGAGTACGTGCTGAGCGCCGGCGACGGCAGTCCGCCCCCGCCCATCACCGCACCGCCGTGCAGCGACAGCCCCAGCCCACCGCCCATCGCCGGCGAATTCGCAGCCGATCCCACCGGCAGGATGTTGAGCTCCACGCGGAAGCGCAGCGGCTTGGCCGCCGTCGTGACGCCGTTCGACTCGCGGTACTCGCTCATGCTGCACCGCAGCGTCGTGTGGTGCACGTCCGACGACTCGTCCATCGCCACGCGCACGCCGTAGCTCTGCAGCCGACGCACCACCTCGTTGAGCGTCTCGGAAAAGTTGTCCGTAGACATGAGCGTAAACGTGGCCGGCTTCCAGTTGAACAGCCCCGCGAACCAGCTGTCCTTCTTGCCCGGCGCACCTCCGCCAGGCACGGGCGCCAGCGTGGCCACCGCTGCAGTCACCGGCGTCGTAGGCGGCGAGATGGCGCCCATCGCACCACCAACGCCGCCCGCGCCCATGTCGAGCCCCAGACCAAGGTTCTTGGGCGCACGCGACGACGACGAAGAGCCGGCGCCCGGTCGCGCGCTCGATCCAGCAGGCGGCGCAAAGATGCTCGCCAGCGCAGGTGGCGCGGCCGTCTGCTCGTACGCGATGGATCGGATCGTGTTGGCATCGTGCTGCGTCGCGTGCTTGTCGCCACCACCGCGTCGCAGCCCGAGCAGCGAGCGCTTGCGACCGAGCCCAGTGCTGCCCGTGCTGATGTTGCTGAATACGCTCGTCGGCCGAGACGTGCCGCCGGAGCTGCTCGCCTCGGTGGCAGAGCGCGCACTGCGCACCGAGTTCCTCGTGCTCGCATTGGAGCTCGCCACCGTGCTGGCGATGCTCGTCCGCGCGCTCGCCTTGTCCGTGAGCGACAGAGGTGCGATGAGCTCGGCGGGGCTCAGCGGCGTCATTGGCGTCGAGGGCGTGTAGCTCTGCTGGTGCGAAGACGCCTGCGAGACCGAGCGCATGCTCTCGCCCTCGCTCACGTCGTCTTCGGCATCCTCGAACTGGTTCATCTCGGAGCCCCTCGCGCCGGCACCTCGACCACCCGTCGAAGGCGCCGACGAGGCCGCCGCTGTGGCCGCCGGCTGCTGCTGCAAAGCCATCGACTTTTTGAGCTGCTCGATCTTGCTCTGAAGCGCGTCCGGCTTCTCGCCCGTGGCGCGGATCGAGGCGAGCTCGTCGGCGATCTCCTGGAAGAACTTCTGCATGGTCGCGTCGCCCACCTGCGGCACCTGGATCGACGGTGCGGCGTGCGTGGTGTGTGCACGTGCCGTCGAGGGTCGCTGCAGCACGGGCTGAGCCGCAGGCTGGGGCGCCGCAGGAGCAGCAGTAGCAGCAGCGCCAAACGTAGCCTTGGTCGGCGAGACGGGTCGCGACGACGCACGGCCAGGCAACGCCAGAGGCGGCATCATCTCGGAGCCCGAGCCGCGGTTGGCACGCGATCGCGCCGCGGCTGCCGACGAGCTGGAGGACGACGATGACGACGACGCAGCCGCTCCATGCGCCGACACAGGCGCATCGTACAGATTGGCGAGTGCGATGCGAGCCGAAGGCGGTGCGCTAGCGGGCGCAGCCTTGGTGGGCGAAGTGTTGCGACGCTGCAAGTCGACGTTGGGACGCTCGTTGCGCTGCGGCGAGGCGGTCTGCAGCGAGATTTGTGGCAGCACGTAGCTTCCATCGCTCTCCCTGCGTGGGCTGCCGCTCGGCGGGGCGGTCTGCGCGGGCAAGGGAGCCTGGAGCTTGGAGGGAGAGGCAAAGGGAGCCTTGAGGCTGGTGGCAGGCGAATCCAGAGGCGAGGGTCGCAAGCGAGGCGATGGGTTGGCGGGTCGTACGTGGGGCGATGCCACCTTGGTGGGGGTCACGTCGGTAGCACGAACGGGCACGGTATTGTACGCCGAGCCCTTTTCGGGCGTGCTGTGCCTGCGCTCCATGTCGAAGCTCTCGAGCCTGGGTGAGGTCGGTGCTGATGTGGCACCGGGTCCCTCGCCGGTTCGGCGCGGCCTGGCGATCTCGAGCGTCTTTGCAGCGCCCGACGAGGCGAGCATGGCATGCGCTGGAACGGCGCTGGCGGTAACGATCTGCTCGTTTACAATGTCGTCGTCCATGTCGTCTTCGTCGTCGGCCGAGTGGTTTTCACGGTGGGCGACGAGGAGCGTGTAGAAGGTCTTCTGCCAGCTGGGACCGGGTGAGAGGAGCTCTCTGACGATGTCGTCTTCGCTGAGCTCGAACCAGAGCGTCTTGAGGTTGCCGAGGATGTCGAGGTCGATGGTGTCGTGGGTGAGCTGTTCCATCTGAAGGGTGTCGAGCGAGGTGGAGACGGGGTTGTGGGACGACTCTTTGCCGTTGTTGGTGAACCAGGGGTGACGCATGATGTCGGCCATCTTGATGCGCTTCTCCGGGTCGACCTCGAGCATGCGCCAGATGAGGTCCTTGGAAGCGGGCTCGAGCCACTCGGGCATCATGAACTTGCCGGCCCTGACCTTGCCGAGGAGCTGCTGGATGTTGGGGTCGTCAAAGGGGAGGCGTCCGCAGAGGAGGGCAAAGAGGATGATGCCGCAGCTCCAGATGTCGCTGGCGGTGCCCTTGTATCGCTTGCCGCTGACGATTTCGGGGCTGGCGTAATGCGGGGAGCCGCAGCTGGTCTCGAGCATCTTTTCGGTGGGCTGGAGGGCGGCCATGCCAAAGTCGGCGACCTTGACGATCTTTTTGGACTCGTCGAGCAGCAGGTTCTCTGGCTTGAGGTCGCGATGGCAGATGTTGAAGCGGTGGCAGTAGTCCATGCCAAAGATGATCTGGCGGAAGTAGGCGCGTGCGTCGCGTGGGGTGAGCTTGCCCTGGGCGACGAGGTGGTCGAAGAGTTCACCGCCGGCGACGTACTCCATGATGAGGAAGAGATCCTTGGAAGTTTCGTAGACGTCCCAGAGGCCGAGGAGGTTGGGATGTTCGATGAGCTTCATGATGACGATCTCCCTCTCGATGCCGAGGATCATCTTGTTGGCCTTGACGTCTGCATCGCGCAAGCTCATTCGACTCGCGTTGATGAGAGTCCTGGGGATGATTTTGACCGCCGCTCTTTGGCCTGTCTGGTCGTGGATGGCGAGGCGGACGCGGCCGGAGGCGCCCTGGCCGATGAGCTTGTCGAGACGCCAGTGGCCGATGTTCTTTGGGTCGTTGTGGTGGCGCTTCTTCTCCCTCTCCAGCCTCGATGTGGGCTTGGGGCGTTCGGCGGCGGGAGCGGGGGCGGCAGCATGCTGAGGCTGTCTGCGGTCGACGGCGGGGACGGGCTGCTGACGTTGGGAGGCGTGGTGGCTGGAGCCTGCGTGGTGGGAAGGGCGGTAGTTTTCGGAGCCGGTGGCACGGGTTGAGACGACGTTGGCGCCTGCTTTGCGGTTGGCCAGGGCGACGTAGGCCTCTGCTGCGGTGGGACGGCGGTTCTGGACGTCGGTGGGTTGCAAGGGCGCGCCCTTGAAGGGAGGGATGGCCTGGATGACGGGGCGCTGTGTGGACATGATGGGCGTGGATCAATCGCACGGCTCGACGTGTGTGAAGCGCGGGCGATGCGAAGGATCTCTGCCGGTCGAGCGTTTGATATTTGTGGATAGCTGGTGTGACTTTGGCTGGTATGAATGCAGACGATGCGAGAAGATGATGCTGAAGAGCTGTAGAGATGGTTGCTGCGGAGAAGAAGATGTGAAAAGGAGCGTGATGTTGAGGAGAACGAGAAAGGGAAGGGGGAGAGTAGGAGCCGGCAGGGAGAGGAGGGATAGGATGAAGGGAGTAAGAGATAGGAAAGGAAGAGTGAGGGACAGGGAGGATGGTGTTGCTGGTGACGAGCAAGGATTGCGAAGCGGCTCTGGGCAGCGAGGAGGGCAGCGAGGAAGGGGGAGGAGAGACAAACACAGAGCAGACGGACGGCCTTCAGCTGGCCATGCTGTGCCAAAGCGATGGGCAAGGCGATGAGGGGGCAGTCCGGGTCAGCAGAGAGAGGGAGCGACTAGCAGAAAGGCAAGCCGACGCGGGATTGATCTCTGCCGCTCCTGTCCAGAGGCAGAGAGGCTGACGAGGCGAGGCCAGCCTGCGTCTGCGTCTGCGTCAGTTGGCGAGCGACGGTTTGGCGATGCAGAGCTGACAGTTGCTTGGTCGGGGGAGCCGCGGCGAGAGACACAGCAGAGATCGAGAAGACGAGCACGGCCGGCAGAACAACACGAATGGGAGCGGAGATCCAAGCGACGACGATCAACCGACGCAGCCTGGGAGGGGCAGCATCAAAACAAAACACAGCCAGCGCTCGCGCGCCCAACACTGACACCGAGGCGGGGCGGAGTTGAACGCAAAGCGATCGACGGGCGGGCGCGGGTTGCACAGCCTCTTTCGTTTCTGCACCGTGCCAGCCTCTCAGCCTCCAAGCCACGGTGGGTGCGACATCGAAAGGCAGGCGTGTGTGACCGACACGCAACGGGACGGCGGGTGACCCGCACTCTGGCGTGTGCTCGGCAGACTAGCTTGGCTGAACCAGCTGACCCACACAGGCAACGGGCGTCACCAAGCAGAGTGATATGGAGCATCCGACGGGCGCGCATCGTCTGCAGCAGCGCCGCGCCCAACGGACATGACCTGGCGGTTGGACGCTACTACAGTCCCAGCTCCAGCGCTACATTTACTGCGGGTCGTCACCACCATGTCGCCACTGTGACCGGGACGAGGTGGGATCGGTACAGCCGCACAACTGCAGCGACACGCAGCCAGCAGCCAGCAGCCAGCAGCCAGCAGCGGGCGAGTCGAGCATGAGGCATGGGCAGCTAGCTGTGCATCGGCTTCGGCGATGCTTGTGTTGCTTGCGATCCTTGGCAGTTGGTTGGCGCTGCCGCTGGCTGCTGCTTGCTGCGCGCGGTTGGCATGTGCAGCCGACCGGCGTCAGATTCTGCAGGCGCGCGTCTCCAAGCCCGCGACTGGGATTTGCCAAATTGTCGGTGTTGGTCTCGCCTCGCCTCGCCTCGCCTCGCCTCGTCTCCCCGGCTCACTGCACGCTCCGCAAAGACGCGAATAAACAAGCTATGCAGCTCGCAGCAGCGCCTCTC